TATATATATTTGTCCTTCTGATGTTCTCTCAGGGTATTTAGATGAGACAAATAGTTAAAACTTGTTTCTTAGGATAATTACAGTTTCAAGTCAGTGTGTAATTTCCATTCCCCTAAGGTTTATGAACCAATTTTTGTGACGTGTCTATTTAAAACTCTAATTTAATTTGTATCATTTCTGTCTTAAAAGTAAAAGATACCTTGAAAAAGATACGTTCCAATATTCTTAATTTATGGTTTAGTAAACTGTAGTGTGGGATTAGATTTTGTTTAAGAAAACACAGCTATTTGTGAGCAGAGCTTAAACTCGAACTCAGTTTTCTTCAACTTTTAGTCTAAAACTTTAATTCTATTCTTCTATCCTGGAGTAATTGTTTCTATTTAAATCTTGTCATTTGCAAGTATAGTTCCTACCCCATACCATTAATCTTTGAGTTTCAACCACATAGTGACCACAGTTCAAATATTGTGTATTTCTTATATTAATCACATTATCATTTTTGCTCATTGAATCATATTCTATGTAATGATTAGGATGACACCTCCAAAAGCCTTTGAGAGAAGAGTTTTCTATCTTAGGGTGGATCACACTCACTGATATATTTCAATAATAGCTCTGACCTTGAATACAAGAAAAACGAGTTCAGAATGTAAACTAAGAAACACCACAAAAATATCACTTTCATGCTTTCAACTTCATATGCTTTCGGCTTCACTCTTGTGTGTTTATATTACTGCTCAATGTAAAAAATTAGTAATTGAAACCAGGATACACTTATTTGACCAGAACAAGAGATATAATCAAAGTAACATTTCAAAAACAAAGACTGTTTTTTAAAAGGTAATTAATTTTATATTGCCAAAATTCAATGGACATTTTTCTGATAAAATTTGAATTTAATAAAGCTATTAAAACTAAAAGCTCTTCATGATATTAAATGTATGAAATGTACCTCTATGAAACAATTTTTCATTCTCCTAAATTCAACATTATACCATATAGATTGAGAGTTTACTCTCCTTTGGCAAAATTAAACATCTTACTAGTTTTTTAAATCAAATTTTTACTGAGCTCTGTGTCTTCCAGGGTGTCTCATTAGTAGATAACACCAATAAAGCAAAAATAGTTGTCTGAATGCAATTATTTATAAAAACTCGTCACAAAACGAACTGCCATGTATGCATCTTTCAAGGATATTGGAAGGTCATCTTGATAAAGGTGGAAAAGAAATGCTAGTACACTTTAAGTTGTGAGGAAGGCCTGATCAAGGGGTCTAAGGAAGAAAGCATGAAATAAGAAGGGGGAAAGATGAGATGGGGTGACGTGACAGAGCACAATTACATTGTTGATAGGATTCCTAGAATATGCGGTTGTCTATTACCTTTTCCTGCATTTTCTTTGTGTTTAAGCTTATATCAGATTCAGGAAATGTTTTTATTTCTGGTTTTATCTTACAAATGCCATTTCCAGCAATTGTATTCATTGTCATACAAAAGCCAAAAGAGACTTTCCTTCCCTCCCAGAAAACTAGTTCTGCTATCCCAACTGGAATACTAATCTTTATTTCATGGGATTTTTCTAATCAGGTTATTCTTTTATCTCTACTTCTAATTTACCATGTCCAGTTGTAATTGTCAGAAAATAACCCCAGGATAAAGAACAAGATTATGTATTGCTCTTAAACACTTATGCCAATGTAAGGTTTCCTAAACTGAACATATAATTCAAAAAGAAATGTCAGTTACAGTACCTGATTTTGATTCCATATGAACCACTATATAATAAAACGCTGTGCACTAACTCCATCTACAGGTCATTACAATAGTAACACTTCTTATAATTTTTCAAAAGCCATGAATAACATTTAACTCCTCAGATTAAGAGTATCTGGTTATAGTGAATCTCCTCATTATCTGGTAAGTCATTATTTACCATACACAATAGCAGAAAATAAAAACAGACAACTTCCCAACTCAAAAAATCCTCCTAAATTCATATCTTTCCAGCTAGTGCTTCTCTCCACCTTAATTCATGAGAGTTCACTTTCCATTACATTTTGAAGAACCTTAGGTGTTTATAATACGTCTAAAACGTTCTTATGGGCCATAGGAGTAGACTATGCAAGAAATATAAAAGCAGATAAAGAAAAATTTTTAGTTCTTCTTGGTTCTTTGGTCATTTATATCATTGCTTCTATAATGTGTTTATATGCTTTATTTGATCACTAGTAAATATTTTGAATATGGTTAAGCACATTATTAAATTTTTATCATAACTCGTCTCCATAGCAGTTACGCTTAAATGGGAAAGTTCAATTTTACTTAATGTTCTCAAATAGTTGTTTGGCATATTCTACCTCAATCGATTACACAAATAATGGTTTCAAAACAATATGCACATGCATTTATAGAGACGTATGACTTTCAAATTACAAATATTATTTTAAACTTCCCACTTTCATATAGTCACAAGTTACTCTATGATCTTTACAACTGGCTAGAAATTTTCTTGTTGGAAAATCAACTCACATAGTACACAGACATTAATTGGAGTAACTTTTTCTATGAATTACGAAACAACTTATTTTGTTCAGTTACAACTGAACAGTAAAAAGTTCAATTTAAGATTTAAATGTTGAATGAATACATTCCTTTAACAAAAGCGTGTTAAGTGTATTCTAACTATCACGCAAATAAGATGATTATTTTTTCATACTGCTCTTCTTTATTCTTAGTTGGAATTTTATTGCAGTTAAATTTTTTTGGATTCCCTTAGTCATGAATTCATCCAAGGACAATTTTCTTCCCCCTGAAAGAATAAACAAAAAGTTACAGAAATTCTCATGCAGATTTAAAATAAAGTGCCCCCACCTTCTTCCAGTCAATGTGCTCAGAAGGAGGGTCCAGGCCCAAAGATAGTCAGAGAGACCCGGACTTTTCTTCATCGTGGGCTTGTGCAGCTGAAAAGTAGAACAAGTAGAGATCAATGTCTCTTGCAAGAAACATCAGGTTATAACCACTAGGGCTGACTGAGGCAGTTCAGATGAATGCTTTGAAGTCAGGAAATGACCTCACTGGGATATGACACCTCATTGGAAGCAATGGAAACCTGGACCATCCATTCTCCACTTTCCCTTCCATTTCTCCATTCAGAAATATATCAGTGCCTTAATTTCTCCTGTAAAAGAATACAAGTTGAAATCCTTTCAGGTGACAATACTGCTCAACATGAAAACTGTGAGTTTTTTTTTTCCTCCAGGTTTTATATTTCTAATATAGTTTGAATTACTCTCTTCTTGTTGTTTATCATTTGAGAATATTGACCTTTCTGATTTGAGTTTCCACGCCTGAACTGTGCATTGAAATTTGTAAGCTGGTGTCTATAATGGGGAGAACATGCTTAGGAGCTGAAATGGGGTTGGTTAATATGCTTCAATGACTGACTTCATCTTTGAATTCTGGATTTACCTTGGTTTCAGAAGCAACTGTATTTATCTTAAAAAAAAAAACAACAACAACATAAGAAACACACTGTTGAATGCTGAAGTCGTGCTTATATTCTCTGCCTATGATTGCCTTGTTAAATACGCTCACTAATGCTTCTGTGAGGCTAAAGGACACACTTTACAGTCAAGCCATGTGCTAATCTCTCTCATACACACAAACCACACTCACATAAATGCATACAAACATGCCCACACATATCTTTTAAGCCCTCTTGAATTCTGCCAGGTTGCTGCTAGAAAATGTTTCATCTCAGACAGATGGGAGCTAGAGTGCTTTGCTTTGCATGAATAAGGGGATCTTTTTTTCCCTCTTAGGTAAAGTGCAATCAATCACCATCTGATGGTCGAATTTTAGACTTGATAGTGGGATGCTGGAAGAAAGGAGGAGTATGGAAAGCTTAGAGAATTTTGAAAAACTAGGACCTATCTGTGGAGACGATTTTTAAAAATCAGTGCACTACCTGGGTAAGAGCAGATGTGGCAACACTTTATTTAATTTGCTACAATTAATGGCAGCTATAACATGAGAAATGTTAGAGGTATTTATTAGCCCTTCCCTGAATCTATACTCCTTAGTACAGTGAGTGATTAATGGATTGCATGTCTTTTAAAGCATGTTTTTTATTAAGCACTGTATAGTTTAATGTGGTATGCCTTTAAGTACATCTACACAAATGCTTTCCACACTCTTGGGGATCATTTATATCAGTAAAAACCATTACAAACAGGCATGTAAGCAATGAAACATAATTAATGTGTTTAGAGTGAAATGGTCTAGATCTAGAGATAAGAGCTGTGAGCTTCATAGTTTCTACTTAATTTAGTCACTGATTTTGGCACAGATGACAAGAATTATTGGATAAATATCATTATGTTAAAATATTGCATCTAAATTGCACAGTTATAATTCATTCTTGCATTAATCTTCAACATTTGTTATGAAGGAAAAACAATTTCTCTTATCCATTAATAATTGTTGGCCTTTGTAAAATAAAAAAAAAAAAAAAAA